CACACACACACACACACACACACACACACACACACACACACACACACACACACACACACACACACACACACACACGCACACATTACCAATACACACATTACCAATACACACATAGTTTTGTGTCTGTACTATGTTTTTCAAACATAAAAAATGTAATATAACCAACTGGCAAAATAATAAGCTTTTAAAAATAACGGAAATTAGAGAACGCATTAAAAAAAACTATATACTAGTCGAAATATCCTAAAGTCTAATTTATAATTTAAAATTGTTTTTTATATGTATCTAGAAAATTTATTGCAGCGCAGTTCAAAATTATATGTAAATAATTGTGTAGCGTTTCAAACACTTTTCCTTACTTGTCTAAATAATTTTAATTGAAACAAATGATTGTTATTTAATGCATTATATATATCTAGCGTAATATTAAAAATGTACACTGAATACGTTTAAATCATGAAGCCTTTTATACCACGCAAAAGCAAATCGCGGTTCGATTCCTCCCCCGGTGGTGGTGGTGGGGGGGGGGGCACTCACCCCACATTATGGTAGGTATGTGCCACTGCGAAGTCAAAAATGGGGCGCTCTGGAACTAACTCAGACCTGAAAATGGGGGTCTCTGGAACTAATGTTTGTTGAATGTGGGATGCTCTGGAACTGGCTCCAGATACGATAGCAACGACCACCACCATGACCAGTGGCACCCCCGAGTGGCACAGGCACTGCGTTCCGGTTGTCGACACTGACATGACGATGGCAGAAGTGCTGCACTCGAGTCTCGATGTATGCATGAGAATCAAATGGGAAATGTTAAAAACTAGGGTCTCCGGAACGGCAAAAATGTAAGATCTGCATGGTAACTAAACTTGTGATGCTCTGGAACGAGATATTCTTAAAAATGCGATGCACTGGAACGGAAGTTTAGGGTTGAAAATAGGGGTCTCTCCCGCGGCGCATACCTACCATGCAATATATATGGAGTGCCCCCACCCCGGGATTCCTCCTGCATGGGCTCGTATCGCACAATTTTTCCCATATTGGTCTCGTAGCTAAAAGAAATGTCTTTGTAGACAAAAAGGAGCAACAGCGCATCTGATATAGCATATCATATATAGCTCTACCATAGGTTTGAAAAATGGTACACACTGCTTCTCTGCTTAGCACTCAGCAAAAAGAGATAGAGTGTGGAAAAAACGGTGTCAACTCGACTCCCGCCGACGCCACGCCAGAATTGGTTACTGCCGGTGTATCATATCAATATGATAGCATCTCAACAGCGCCCATATCGTATCTAACAAAAAGCGTCGGTGCGGGTCTTCGTTAGAAGAAACTCGTGCTACCATCACTGTGTCGATGTAACATTAGCACGAGTTAGAGTGACAGTAAGAGTCACCCAGCTAAATACAATTGCTGATGCACAGAACAATAGAAATGTATAGAGACACACCTAACTAGTATATTATTTCTATGCACATAACTATATATTTCAAAACTTCTACTATCGCGATCATCACTAGTCTTATAAATAATATATGAAAAAAAGCACAAGTGTATCGTAAATATTGCGCTGACTGACACACCTGAAATTCAGAGGGTAGAATTTTTTTATCCTGTTTTAGTGATTTGTTTTTTAAAATAGTCTTTGTGTTGTAACTTGTGTTGTTACTTTTAAATCTATAGAGTTAGTTATTCATATTATTGGACATTTTGTATATCCCCCTTCTCTCACCTCCCCTCCCTCTCTCTCTCTCTCTCTCTCTCTCTCTCTCTCTCTCTCTCTCTCTCTCTCTCTCTCTC